ATGCTCAACTTTCTACCTTATTTTGTTCTCTGTTTTATTATTTCATGACCAGAAGTCCACCTATTCTGGATAAGTGTATTTAATTTATTATTGTAAACTGTATGATTTATTGACGGTTTTTATTCCTGAAATTGCCACGGAACTTTGTTCTATAATTTCATTCGTAAGTTAGATTTGCTCATGTAAAGTATATGTGTTATAAGTAAAAGTATAAGTGTATGAGTATATGTATAATGTAGACGTAGTGTTGTATGTATAAAGTATGGCGTATAGTATTCGTCTTAAAGTAAAGTTATTGTCTACAAGTAATACACTTAGTTTATGTGTGAACGTAAATGTTCTATGAAGTAAAGTAGTATGAAGTGAAGTGAAGTACAAGTACAGTGCAGTAAAATGCAACTAAGTAAAGTATAATGCAGTAAAAATGAAATGCACCTAAGTAATTGACAGCAAAATGTACATGTATGAGCAATGTATAATTATATTATGTCTATCTAACTTTGATATATATTATAGGTCCCATTCAGGCCATTTGTACCATTCCTGCCATTCAGCCAGTGGGCCATTCAGACAGTTACGTACACTACGCGTGTGTTTGTACATATTGTAAATAAAACTATTTTAACAAAACTGTATTGTGATTTTGGGAAGCCGCCAGCCACTCTGTGACAATCTTGCTTGTCAATAATTTACCTCGATATAGAGACTGGTCATACGTAGAGCAAGGCCTTGCGTATCGAATCAACTGAGATATATACACTCTGTATGCAGGTGATGAAGGTATATTGCTGCATAAGTAAAGGAAGTTGACGATAAAAAAATTAAAGTCATCACGTTTATCATATAGCCTGGTTGTTAGATTACCATTAGTGTCTTTTCAAGTAAAATATCCAAGTATGAAACAGATGTGTCAGACTCTGTGGTACCTTTTATCTCAAGCTCACTAGGATATATCGTGTCGACGTAGGAATGGAAATTACCATTGTTAATTTACAATACATCGTCGATATATCTAAATGTCGAGTTGAAGGCCACAGCAAGTGTTTTCTTCTTTTCACGCATAAGATTTTGCACAAATTCTGCTTCATATGAATACAAAAATAGGTCAGCTAATAACGGAGCGCAATTGATACTTATGGGAATTCCAATAGATTGTTGGAATACCTGGTCTCCAAACACCACATAGATATTGTCAATCAGAATCTCAAGCATTTCTTTGATGTCAACTTCAGAGAGTACTTGTGTGTGCAATCAAAATGTGTTTTAACGAAATAATTTTGCAACTGACCAATGACCAGGTAAGTAAATTTAAGAGTTCCATTTTTATTGAAAAAAAAATCAATGATATCAAAAAGCCTGGACTTTAATTTATCGTGGAGAATGGTTGTATATAAAGTTGAAAAGTTGTAAGTTTTTAAGCTGTTGATTTAGGTAAAATCTTGTGATTTCAAAATGTCCAAAAGTTGGAATTTTTTAGTATCCACATCTGATTCACACCACTTCCTGAATATATTGTTGCACAGTACTCCTGAAGCTTTTCATTCACTACTGTCAATATCTTAGTGAGGAGTAACGAAAGAGGCTTGGTTGAACATTTACTGGAACCCGCAATGTATCTTTGTTTTTAAAAATTTCTATGAAGTTTTGGAATCCAATATATATAGGGTAGTTCAAATTCATGTTGGCTCTGTTGAATATTAAAAATATTTAAAACTGACATTTGATTTTGAAGAATTTCTTCCTTAGAAAGGGAAGTATGAGTATAAGTAGGATTACCACTCGTAGAATTAGATCCAAGTTCTTCTAAAATACAGTTTATATAATGAGCCTCACAAACGAAGACAATGTTCTTACCTGCTTTGTCGGCAGGGACCAGTACATACTGATCATGTAATCTATCTAATTCTTTTTTCACTTCTGGATTATTGAACACAGAAGGATAGATGGTTTTCATATTGCCCCTCAGTCTTTTAATACGTGACTTTAACATGGATCTAATACATTTTATCCATTCTGACAAGGTGTCAACGTCTTCTTTTTCATATCTAGCCCATCGTCTGGCATAATTTTCAACAGAATCCATAATATTTATGAAATTCCGACGCCAGTTGAAGGATCGGTGTTCCCTATATTAAGGACCTTTTAACTTTAGTGATCTAAGGTCCTCATTATTAACTATATTTACGTCACCTGTAAAAACGTGTCCAGCAGGACTATAGTTGTAGGGCGAAGAAGAACATGAACACAATGGAGGATTATGTTTCAGATACTCGGTATCCAGGTCATGTAAAGTTTTTTTGTAATTGAAAAGTTTGGAAGCATTGGTCGTTGTATATTTGTAGGAAATACAAAGTGTAGTTTTTAACTTGAAATATGGTGGAATACAAGACTGGACCCTTTTGTGATTAAGAATATTACTTATATTAACTGCGTCTATTCCTTTATTGGCATATTGAAGTTTAAGGAAAAGACGGATTGTCTTAGCTGCATTTTCTTCCGTTAAACGTGCGGGTTTAAAAAGCCTATGAAATGCAATATCGATAATCACAGATCCGAGCCTATATTCTGGTAACGAGGAATCAAAAATTGGACTTTCCAATTCAAATTTCAAATTTTTCAAGAAGGCTATTTAAAATTTTCAAAGAGACAGAGTAAAGTTTGGTGCGAATATGATAAAGACCTAACTGTCGATTTACATAAGGTAGTAATGAATCAAAAGAGACGTCGTGTATTGCAGGTTTATTGTACGACCGATGCCCATGACTACGCTTACGTCTCTGTGTATGGTTAAAAAATCCCATCACATTTACATTATTACACTGTGGACTGGAAAGATTTCCAACACTATCGACATTATCATTACATCCATAGGGAAAGGCTGTCCCTAGTTTTCTAATCCAAAATTCTTCTTGTTATCTACGGAAAGGTGTACTCAGCGACGGACTATTTGTGTGGTGATAAATCTTTTCGAGAGAATTCTAACTTTCATTGACAATATAGAATGATCAAGTAAATTAAAATGTTTATATAAAAGCTGCTGACCACCATGATTTATTTAAAATCGATGACCTGATATTCTTTTTTTAAGCGATCCCTTGGTTTCACCAACATAAACAAGTCCACACAGATTACATTCTATTCGATAGACAACATTAGAAGATTTGCTGTTCAGATTTTCTCAAGTTTTGGTATAGAAGCTCTGTCCAGTAAGATTACTGGTGAAAGAAGTGTTAGTTATCAAAATGTCACAGGTTTTACAGTTTCGCACAGAACATTTTGAAACATAAGACATGGGATCGGAAAAGGAATTATCAAATGTATATCTGTAATAGAAACCTTAAATTCTTTCAATTTGGTGTATGATGTATTGGTTTTATACCAAAACTGGGAATCTGAAGACTGTACATATGACATATGTTTGATATCCCTGAGGATTATCCGAGGGGCACCAAATGAACTCCTTGAGTCTGTGTCCCTTATAGACTCAAAAGAGTGTCGCCTTTTTTTCATACTGGGCGACGCGCCTGCCAGTATCATTTCGTTATTCTTTGTATTCATGAATGCATAGGTACCGAACGACAAGTATCCCCGAGGACAGACTGTCCATCAGCAGAGATACATGTTCGGTTAAAAGGATATGGAGATAACGAACAGTATTCAATCTCAAAGTCCATAAAACAATACAAAATAAGAGCAGAGCAAACGCGGACCCCCGAAACATCAGGGGTGAGATCTGGTGCCATGGAGGAGTGAGCATCCCCTGCTGACTGGTCACACCCGGCGTGTGCTCTTTGTCACGATCGGGAAATAACGGAAAAATCCGTCGGCAATTCAGTGTATAAATAATGGACTAACAATTAGTATGAAAAACGTCAGTCAGCATTTGACTCCATGATAAATTGTATTTGTTGATAAGGTCATTGTGTCGACCATAGAAGTATCGACCATGAAGTAATGGAATCCAGATAGATATGGCAATTCGAATTCATTTCGGTTGTTGGGAAGATTAAAAATATTCATAACTGACATCTGATTTTGAAGAATTTCTACCTTCGATAGGGAGCTATGGGTATAAGGATATGGATAAGATTATCACCTGTCGAATGAAATCCCAGTTCCTCTGAATTAATACAATTTAAAAAGTAAACCTTACAAATACAATACTGTTACATTGTACCTATTTTATCAACTGGGAGCAATGCATACTGATTTATAAAGAAATCAACATTTTCAATTATAAGTTGATCTCAAGGTTTTCGTAACTCATTTTGTATTTTAACTGAGTAGAGGTACCGTGAGCAATGAGCTTACTAAATGATACCCCCGCCTCCCATATGAATATAATGGCAGTGTCCATGTTTTGCCGTGGGAAACCCAAAACATGTGTCGGATCAAAAAGTAAAATAGGAGGTGCACCATGGCAATATGTAATAAAGATTCTGAGAAAGTATCATCAAATTTCATTCAGTGGTATGAGAATAGTTGCGGCTAAGAGATGGGTACCCCAAAGCGTAACAGACAGACAGACGGACGGACGGACATACCGATTACTATATACCCTCCCGCTTTTCAAGTGGGGGTATAAATATTAAACCTCTGTTTAAAGTATTTCAAATGCTTTCAAAAGGGGAATCCATAAAAAGGTTTTGCATAAATTTCAGAAATTTGTTAAAACCCTGATTTCTCTTTAGTCGCTTGAAAAGTATTCCAATTTTAAATCTTTGTATAACTGGAATGTATTAACATCGTACATGTAGGTATACATAAGTATGGAAACGTGTGATTTCCATTTCTTTTTAGACAAGCTTATAATATCTAATAAGTAAATAAACAATTAATGCAAAATCAAACAAATCTAATACATCTTTCCAGAGTTCTATTCCATTTACTTCTATGCTTTATAATAGCTTTATTTTTATAAATTAAGATGAGCTATATAAGACACATTCAACTTGAAAATGTTTTGACAAATATATCAGCATTCATTACTCGATGTGCAAACTCAAGTCGTATTCGAACATAGGGTCGTCGTTTTCAAACATAATGTCTTGATTTTTGTACATCATCGATATCTGGTTATATCCGTGTGTATTACTTTTAACTTCCTGTGCCTTTTCGCCTGGATCTAGTCTCTGTCTCTTTGTCCGACATGGATTATCTGAAGCTCTTTCAAAATCGTGCAGCGAAATAGGAGGTCCCATGGTTCTAAATGTTAGTTGACTGTCTTTATCTGTAAAAGAAATAAATCAAGTACATTTCATATAGTTTGAGCTGTATTTATACGCGTATTCCTCAACTAAAAAAGATAATTTCATCAACTTATTTGTCAATAGCTTGCGTCTTTTACAAATTGTTCGACTTTAGAGCATGTTTTTGGGTATCAAATAAACTGAGAAAGATATTCTCCATATGGAGGTTATATGCATTACTTTTACATCAAAATAGAACGTTATATAAATATCCCCACCAAACAAAAAACAAAAAAAGAAAAGAAGGCGTGATTTATAAAACTAAATTTTACATGATCAATAACTAAATGTGATTTTATACACTTTCCAGGCTATGTTTTTTTTCATGTTAGTAAGAGTAAACATTCGTACCTTTCTCTTTGTTTCTGCTTGTTCTACATCTGCAAAGTAAACACTCAAGTCATTATACGATGTAAAGCCGTGTTTGGTTGTTTGTTTGTTTGGGTTTTTTTGTGTGAAAATATATACATGTATATAACAATTTAAGATTATATAGCTGAATAAATAGAATAAAATTACCGTATAACGTAGCCCGTTATTATCATTGCAGTCACGAAACAGATACCAATTACCACTACTACTAGCACAATGATATCAAAAGACTCCGAAGAGTGACTTCCATCAGATTCTATTGTTGCAAGAAATAAAATTGTCATTAGCATTATAAGAAAAGACGCCATTGTTGTAAGTTCATTTCCACCTAAGCTTATAGCCAACGGTGGCTTCATGGTTGCCAATAAATTGTCTGTTATTAAAAAAAAATAAATGGTTTACGGCAATAGATATTCACGAGTTGAAGAAGTTTGCGGAATTCGCAGATATGTCTCGCACGCGAAAAAAGTTTGTTAACTGTAGCTCCGCTTGATAAATTAATTGATTACATTGCTATGCTCTAAAACTTGTCATAAAAAAAGAACAATTTTAACGAAATATGTGGAGATCACTAACATTATTCAAACTCAAAAGTTCTTCAAACAAACAAAACTGAAGCAGAGCAAGCACGAACCTCCAAAACAGAGGTGGGATCAGGTGCAATGGATGAGTGAGCATTTCATGCAGTAAAATCGACTATTCAGTGAGTAAATAATGGCTAAACAAGTATAATGAAAAATGATGACTTTAAACGAGACTGCTGATACTAGTATTAATATTTCATCAACTTATTTGTAAACAATTTACCTCGTTTTTAAATTGTTCATGCGAAGAGCATGCTCTTGCGTATCGAATCAATTGACAGATATAAACCACGTATGCAGGTGATGACGGAATATTGCTGCATAAGTAAAGGAGGTTGACGATTGAAAATTTAAAACCTCAATCATAAAAGATTGGTTGTTAGATTACCATTAATATCTTTTGGAAGTAAAATATTCAAATATGAAACAGATGTGTCAGACTCTGTGGTATCTTTTATTTCAAGCTCACTGGTATATATCGTATCGACATAAGACTGGAAATAGCCATTGTTAATTGGCAATACGTCGTCGATAATTCTACATGTTGAGTTGAATTCTACCAAGTGTTTTCTTCTTAACACGTATAAGATTTTGGACAAATTCTGCAACACAAAAATGCGTCTGCTAACAACTGGCGCATTTGATACTTATGGGAATGAATTCCAATAGATTGTTGGAAGACTTTGTCTCCAAAAACACATATACATATTGTTAAAGAAACGAAGCAAGTCACTGACACACAAGATATAAATACCAGAATATGAAACATCTTGTTTGCAGTCAATATGTCGCAAATTCTATGATCAATACAATGTCATTGTTTGCAAATACAAGCGTCATTAGGTCAGGTCAAATGTCTTTCTTACGGATTGTTAGCCTATTATTTTCCCAGCAAATCAATGCTTACCGTTCATGACAAGGATCATGCAGAGGCCGAGAATGGTCGACGGGGGTTCATACTCCTCTATGGCACCTTATCCCGCCTCTTTTTTGAGTTCAGTATTTGTTATGTAGACATGCATTCAGATCAATATAAATAAGGAGCAGATCAAACACAGATATCTAAAACAACAGATGTTTTTTTGGAATCAGGTGTCATTGAGGTGTGGGCATATTCAGTCGACCGGTCACAACAGCCTTGCGCTCCTTGTCAAAATCGGAAAGAAAACTCTAAAACTATTCAGTTAAAACAATGCTCTAGCAATTGGTAAAAGAAACAGTCAGCATTCTACTTTATATATTGTACTTACTGACTAGGTCATTAATATATCGACCATAAAACTTGTAATATCAAATTGTGTAAAATTTTCTTGGATATTTTCAGTGTCCATGTCTGATTTACATCATTTTCAGATACATTGTTGTACAATATTCATGAACTTTCTCCTTCACTGTTGTTATTTTTAGTGAGGAGTGAATTTTCTTATGAAGTTTACGAATCCAGTATTACTTATGGTAATTCAACATCAATTAAGTGAAGGGAATTTATGAAAATACTCGAAACTGACATATGCTTTTAAATTATTTCCTACATAGAAAAGGAGCTATGGGTAAAAGATAACCACTTGCAGACCTGAACTGAACTCACGCTAACATAAAGTGCTTTGCACTTTCCTTCAGTTTGTGTATACAATTTGTGTATTTTACATACTCTGAAAAAAGAACATTAAATATGTAGTACTCTACATGTTATATTTGAAGATATGTAATAATGATTTTGATACCCTGGTCATAAAAACATGAACAGTTGACTGGAAAACACTGCTCACACAAACACTCATTTTTACACCCAAAGCCACAGTATCCAGGTAGACACGACCTCGCACATTGTGGACCGGAGTATCCATAACAGGCTGAAATCACAACAAAAATAACCATCGCACTTTTTTTTTTTCAGTAAAAAGTGCGCGAAAAAAATGAAAATAGGATTTATGAAGGTCTACTAATACTCTACGAGAAATAACCCTAACTAAAATATATATCATTTAAAATGTATCAAAATTGTTAAGTTTGAAAACTTCATTTATGTGCGTTGTAATCATTAATTTCAGTAACATGACATTAATAATTTTGAACGTGTAAACGTTAAATCAAAATTTACATGATTGAATAGTGCTATGATGATACAACAGAGCAATAGATTATCAAAAACCTTCATGTCGATGCTTAACCTTATTATTAAATTATTTATTCTTCATGTTCTTTATTTATTTTAGTTACATTTTTACCCTCGGAAACTGAATGTGAAAGGACTATTTTAAGATACTTTGTTTAATTATTCAACATATAATTTCAGTTCTTGCAATTTAAAATTTTTGAGAAGAGCCATGCAAAACATTAAACGAAAGGCATCGATTAGGTTGTCATCAAGATTTAAATTACATCAAAACAGCTTCGGGAAATTTTAATCATGAATGTAAAGATTCTTATTACTTGCAAATACTGATAAATCTTACTAAGACTTTGCTCAAAGTTTATAAAGAATGTTATTTCTACAAAATTATATTCATTACATACTTTGAAAAAGATTACTTACGTATACAGTCTTTGCCACGCAGTTTATAATTTGCACAGCATTTTATTGGACTGTAAATATCGAAATTCGATGTTTATAAAACATTTTCTTCTTTGAGTTAGATACTATATTTATCAAATTTTTTTATTGTAACAAAGGAGACAATTTTGCCGAGTAACTATGTTGTTTTCCAAAATTTACGAAAATATTTTAATAATATACTTTCAGTATGTCAGTCAGTACTTTTAGATTTAATATTCTTCCCGTTTGCTAACCTTTTTAATCAAAACACATATTATATTTATATTACATCAAAATAGCTTTTGTTTAAAATATCATACCTTTCCTTTTCACTGCAAACCGCCTTTTCTTCACTACTACCTTGAAAAATACATATACAAAAAGCAACAAAAAACGTAATTTTTATCATAATATTATGACACATGATATCAACTTCCATAAAACAGTATCCGCACTAAAATATCCGCAGATAAATTTATTGCAGAATTTTGAAAATCAATTATATGCAACTTAAAGGGAAAGTATGCGCATGATGCACATGTTAAAGCCCTTAAAATCCCTTTTCCTCAATTTGATTACTTTGCTCTTACATTGCGTTTAAATGGAATTCTTTTATGGGAATTTTTTTCATGATTTTAAGTCAAGTACAATCAACGTCAGTGTTTATGATTTAAAAAACATATAAACAGACAGATGGACATACAGACGGACATCCTGATCACTATGTATATACTCCCAATTTTCTAGCGGGGGCATAAAAAGACGATGTTGTACAGTTTTATAAATTTTACAGCTGTATATCATTACTTTTGAAATCTTCGTAATAAGAAAATGGAAAAACCTATAGATAACGAACTATAGCCGGTTTCAAGAAATCTTTAAACAATGCAAATCTGTAACCAGGGTATAAAACAAAAGAGTTTCGGAAATTCCTAAAGTAATATCAGGAACATAGGAGGAGAAGACATCCCTTGCCGAGTGTATTGAAGAGGGCGATGGAATATTCCGTGATAAAAAAATATAAAGAGGATTGGTGGAACATTTATCAGAATCCACAATGCATGTTTAAGGATGTTTAACGGTTGAACATTTATCAGAATCCATAATGCATGTTTAAGGATGTTTAACAAGTTAACTAATCCAGTATATGTGTGGTAATTAAAAGTATTGTTGGAAATATTACAAATATTTTTTTAACTTATAATATTATACAATTTTGAAGAATTTCCTTCATGGAAAGGGAAGTATGAGAATTATTAAGTTTGATTCTACTTGTAGAATTAAATTCAAGTTCCTCTAAAACATTATTTTAAATATGAGCCTCTTCATAAGGCTCATATAATTATAACTTTTTTAGGAACCCGCTTTCAATTATACGTCTAGAAATCCTGCATATACTCATAGTTAACTTTCAAAGGAAGAAATTCTAAAAATGTCTCATTTCATTTTTTTAAATTTTGATATTCCTGTCATATCTACCCTACTTATACTGCATTCCAAAACTTTATTAGAATCCTTAATAAACAGAAATACGTACATTGCCAGACATTACCGTTACCCCCTACCAAAAAATTAACTGCTGTAAAGAAGTAACTTCAGACAAACTGTCTAAAAGAATATTCTAAATGTTGTATAATTCAGATGTGGATTCTCAAAAAATGAAAAAGGGAGAAAATCACAAAATTTAAAATGAACACACGTCAATTATATCAAAACGTACGACTTTTCTATTTTTTTTATTCAATCATTCCTTGTAAAAATCAAAAACTACTCTTTTTGATATCCAGACAATTGCTTCTTTGATAAAAGTGGAATTCTAAAGAAAGGTCAATAGAAATAACTTTGTTAAAAATAATTCTGATTTCTGATTCTACACGCAAGTATTCAAAATGAAGGGTTCACTAAATGAAAAATTATTTCGCTTATAGGATACGGTATATCCCGTTGAGCTTGAGATAAAAGATACCACAGAGTCCGACACTTCTGCTTCATATTTGGATATTTTACTTGAAAAAGACTCTGATGGTAATCTAACAACCAAGCTATATGATAAACGTGATGACTTTAACTTTTCTATCGTCAACTTCCCTTACTTATGCAGCAATATACCTTCATCACCTGCATACGGATTATATATATATCAATTGATTCGATACGCAAGAGCATGCTCTACGTATGAACAATTTCCTAAACGAGGTAAATTATTGACAAGCAAGTTGATGAAACAAGAGTATCAGCAGTCTCGTTTAAAGTCATCAGTTTAGAAGTTCTATGGTCGATACAATTACCTTGTCAGTAAATACTATTTATCATTGAGTCAAATGCAGACTGACGTTTTTCATACTAATTGTTAGTCAATTATTTATACACTGAATTTACGACGGATTTTTCCCTTTATTTCCTGATCATGACAAGGAGCATACGGCGGGTGTGACCGTCGGCAGGGGATGCTCACTCCTCCAAGGCACCTGATCCCACCTCTGCTGTTTTGGAGGTCCGTATTTGCTTTGCTCCTATTTTGTATTTTTTATGGATTTCTGATCTTGAAAACTATTCGTTATCTCCATATAAATCATTATAATAAATTTGACTTCTTTAAAACCACTGAACCAAGTTCAACTCAGTTTGACATAAATCATAAAACATTCTTAAATGAATGATTTACATTCAAATGTATAGATATGCCTCCCTTTGGAGACAAGAAAATTACCAATTAATAGCAATAATAGTAAATAAGATTAAAATCTTTACCATCAACTGAACCAGTAAAGACAATTCAATGACAGTTTTATGATGAGATGAGAACTAAACAATGCTTAAATATGATATTTTCATGAAACCTCAATATATGGGAATATATCTTTGTTTACGTGTACGTGTATATTAATTTACTGATGTCTGTTTTAAAAATTCTCATCAAGCGATTTAGGGGCAAAATGAAAACAAACTATCCTCATATGTTCAAAAATTCAGAAGTGAAAAAAATTAGAAGGAAGGAAAGAAGTTTCTTCAAGAAGAAACTTCTTTCCTTGCGACATTAAAGTCTTTGGCGAGCACCACCAGTCAGCTGAGCATGCTTACCAGTTGACAAAAGCGATACGTGCAGGTAACTTAGACGCAGCTGAGAAGGTAAGACACGCTCCCACAGCACTCGATGCTAAAAAGATAGGAAACTCCATAAAAGACCCGGAGGGGTGGGGCGAACAAAAACTTGATATAATGGAGGAAATTGTGACAGCAAAAGCCGAACAAATAAATCCAATGCGGGAAAAACTGAAGCCTCCAATGCAAATACGATCTTCGCCGAATCTACTGTTGATGTTTACTGGGGTACAGGCTTGGATACCATCGGCACAACTCAAACAGAACCATCCAAATGGCCAGGTGAAAACAAACTTGGAGCTATCGTACAAAAAATTGCTGCCAAATATACTAGAAAACTCAGGAGCGCCTCTGTGCCTAGGAAAGGCTCTCAAAGCGAGGCTAGTCAAAAGAAACTCGACACATTTATCCGAGACTTGAAAAAAAATAAGAAGAAAAATGAAAACGACTCTGCTGCAAAATAATGTGAATTAACAATTTACACGATCACATGATTAAAAACTCTTTATCATTCCTCTCCCTAAATGTGAGAGGTCTAAATACCTATAAAAAGAGAGTAACACTGTTTGAGTGGTTGAAAGATTCAGATTTCGATATAATTATCTTACAAGAAACCCATTTTGTTAAAGAACATGAATTTATATACAATTCTAGATGGTTTGGAAACAAACTTCATTGTTTTTCCGACTCTGTTTATAGTAGGGGCGTTTCGCTATTTTTTAAGCAAAACCTTTCAGTTGAAATATTAAATTATCACCAGTCTCTTGATGGAAGAAGACTATTAGTTAACTTAAAATATAATGAAAAAATTATTACAATTGTGAATGTGTATGCTCCTAACGCTGAACACTCTAGAATTGCTTTTTTTAAAAGATTATCATCTTGGGTTAGTCAACATGCTATGAATGTAGAAGGGCTTGTTGTCTGTGGTGATTTTAATTGTCAACTAGACTATAATCAAAATGATAAAAGTGTTAAGAATCTAAGAAATTTTTTGAAATATTTTGATCTAAATGACTGCTGGCTTTCCAGTGGAAAAACAAGTATAAATGGTTTAACGTGGTGTGATGGAGAGGACATTCCTAAAAGTAGAATAGATTATGTTTTTATGCATGATAATATGCTTTTCCCACTTTGTGATATTACTGTACGTAGAGCACCCAGTGTTGAAGGGACACGTATGAGCGATCATTTAGGCTTAGGTTTTGATCTCAGTACGTCTGAAATTTTACGAGGAAGTGGTTATTGGAAGCTAAATAACTCATTATTAGATGACGAAAACTTTTGTGAAAAACTAAGAAAACATATAAATGACGAAAAAGAAGAATTAAAGCAATTAAACGATCCAAAAGTTAGATGGGAACGAATGAAAATATCAATAAAAGACTTCTGCGTATCTTTTTCAAAAAATAAAGCTAATAATCAAAAAAAGAGAATCAAATTTATAGAAACTCAATTAAAACAAATCGATTTAAAGCATTATACTGAAATAAATATGAGATACAAACGACAGCTTGAAGAAGAAAGAGATAATTATTATGCCCAGAAATGTAATGGAGCTTATGTACGATCTAGAGCTTTGTGGATAGAAAAGGGGGAGAAAAGTAATTCTTATTTTTTAGGTCTTGAAAAAAAGCAGCAAATAAATAATGCAATAACTAAAATAAAGGATGAAAATGAGACTGTTGTTTGTGACAACGATAATATTATGAAAAGCTTGTTTACTTTTTATAGCTCATTATACAGTAGTAAAAATATTTCTGATAATGAAGTTGAAAACTATTTTAAGAATGTTAACTGTGAAAAGGTCACAAAGGCCGAAAAAGAGTTATGCGACATGTTACCTACAAAATTAGAATGCGAAGAAGCTGTTCTTAAAATGAAAAATAACAAATCCCCTGGACAAGATGGCCTAACGGCAGAATTCTATAAAAGATTTTGGCATGATATAAAGGAAATATTTCTTCCCTCTTTACTTAAAAGTATTGATGATGGTATTTTGCCCTTTTCGCAAAGAAACGCTGTGATATCCCTGATATATAAAAAAGGAGAGAAAGAAAATCTTAAGAATTATAGACCAATTAGTCTTACAAACGTTGATTACAAAATTTTCGCTCATGTTTTAGCTAATCGTTTGCAAAAAATTGCTAGTAGAATAATTAGTAGTGAACAGAGTGCTTATATTAAAGGTAGATACATTGGAGAGAACGCAAGAATAATATTAGACATATTTGAATATTGTACAAATAATGATATTGATGGTATTTTGCTCTTTCTCGATTTTGAAAAAGCTTTTGATTCTGTTGAATATAACTTCATGTACAAAACTCTAGAAAAATTTAATTTTGGA